TAGCCACAACAATCGCACTGTATGCCGTTGGAGACTGGTATTTTACATTTCTGCAAACCGCAGAATCCTGATTTTGAAATTTCTCAACGCTTAATCTTTCGACGGAAGTTCAGTGTTTACGATTTAGGACTTAAATTCCACAAAACTTGTGTTAATCTCACGGATAATCACAAGATCAAACACGTGGGGATTTTCTGAAAACGTTTGTTCGAAAATCTCTTACAATCCGTTACGGCTTCAGTTTTGTTTCAGCGAGCCTATTTTGATTTCCCTTTCCATTTTTATCGATCCACGACAGATTTTCAACCGCGTGCGGTCAAGGTCATATATGAGTCTTTTATCCAACGTTTGAAATTGGATGAATCGTCCACGGAATTCATCGATAACTGAGCAGTACGAGTCAGCAAGCAGAATACGAAACGCAGAAATGCGGTGGGGGCAGCCATATTGGTTGCATATACATGGAGTGACATTTTATACTGTGCGATAAATGGTTGTTATATTTTTGGCTCGTAAAAAAAATATCGACACTGCGACCAGCTACTGACTCCATTGGCCATTGACCGGGGATTATATGTCTAAACATACATGATGCACAATAAACATTTCCCTTTTGAGGAACCAATCTGGCAGATCACTTCTACACTGGGCTTTGGCGATGCGTTGTACCGTGTTGTGGCTGACTGGGTGCAGCCATCTTGATTGTTTAACTAATCACTTTCGTTTCCTCCTTTTCCTCGCACAGGCCATGCATTCGGGGGAAATCACCTCAAGGGTAAAGAACCGAACAGACCAATCAGGAGGGACCAAACTACGAATGAAAAACCAAAGAACTCTGATTGCCTGTTGTGCTTCCCACAGAACTTACCCCCGATATACCCCAATGTACATTTTTATTATACACACGGTGTTCCCGCTAAAATAGACGTTTCCTCACTCATCTGTTTTCTGCTGAGTGCTGTGGAATCGGAAGCGTTGATAACTCAAACGGTGTCGTTAATTGTTGCAGCCAGTCGAGTATTACAAGTTTGGCACCCACGGCGGGACCCGAAATCAACTGCACATCCTACATAGAGATGTCAGAATTTTCCAGTCCTGCGACACAATTTCCTCAGTTTTTCGGTCCGTTCGCAGAAGTAGAGGCAAAGCTGGAGACCGCGTCACCGTACAAAAGGATCCCACCGCTCACGACTCCGGAAAAATTCGTACCTGGAGATGATTTCGACGTTTGGGAATCACAGGTACGACGTTATGTTCGTAAGCTGCCGCCAACATATCGGGCAAATGCGGTGATCAATTTCCTATCGAGGGAAGCTTACACGTTAGTCATGGACTTCGATCTCCCGGACGATGTGGATACCCTTCTGGTAACCCTGAGACGGTGACTAGCTGGACCAAAAACAGCACTTGAATACCGGGAGGAGTTATAAATGCGACAACAGCAACCTGAGGAAAGTCTGATGGACTATATGAGGTCCGTACGGCGCCTTGCCCGATTGGCATATCCCACCTCTACAGTCGAGGAACGTAATGCACACGTTTTGGATCGATTTCTTGCTGGGCTCCGAGAACCCAAAACCAAAGATGAGTTACAACTACGGCCACCAAAAGACCTGGCCGCCGCAGAATCAATAGCCGAGATCCTGGACCGGAACGCACGCCGTAAAAGGCGACCGCAAGGAGATTTCGCTGCAGGCTTCAGACAGGAATGGAGAGCACCACCCAGAGAAAATAGTGAGAGGAAACCCCTAATGGTGCCCACATGCTACATCTGTCACCAAACCGGGCACACCTCGCGATTTTGCCGGGATCAAGGAGGACCGAGTAAGTCCACATCGAAAGTTGTTAATGCCAATAATTTCACAACTACGAATATGAACATGGGATTTCCATTTGTGGAGGTAAAGGTAGAGGGCAAAGCAATTAATTGTTTGTTAGATTCTGGGTCGGTTCGCAGTTTGGTAAGTAACAAAGAAACTGTTTGAAAATCCAAGGCCAACCACTCGAAGGAAACTCGCTTGGTGGCAGTAAACGGGTCACCGTTATCTGTACACGGGCTTGTGGAGTTGACGTTACGGGTAGGTAAACAGAAAGTCACTCATCAATTCACGGTTGTAGGAGATCTCCCAGTTGCCATTGTGTAAGGGGGCCGGTTTTCTACGAAAGACGAAGAGTGGTATTAATTTTGGTACGCATCCAGTCTCAATAGGTGGTTCCTGGTTGAATTTTAAGATGGAACGGAAGGATATGAGTTCACACATAAACGTGCAAAGAGAGTCTACAAAGGTCACAGAATTCGAAAATCTGATAGCATCCGTCTCTGAAGAAGTTCCCGGGGAGACCCAAACTCATATTCGGAAGGTAGTGCAAGAGTACCACTTGGTCTTCCCATGGGAAGGGGAACCACTCGGTAGAACAAAGTTGGTCCATCACGATATAGACACGGGAGACACCAGACCGATCCGGCAGGCACCACGACGCGTACCTATCCACCGACAAGCGGAGTTGAACAACCTAATGGAAGAGATGCTCTAGCAAAACATTATTAGACCATCCAAATCCCCTTGGGTCTCACCAGTAGTCCTGATTAAGAAGAAAGGCGGGTCATTATACATGTTCGCTGACTATCGGAAACTGAACACAGTCACACGTAAGGACTTGTTTCCACTGCCTCGTATTGATGATACACTGGATGCACTGTCAGGCTCTAAATGGTTCTCTACCTTGGATCTTGCATCGGGATATTGGCAGGTCGAGGTGAACCCCAGAGATCGAGAAAAGACGGCTTTCGCAGTCCCTACTGGTCTATACGAGTTTTATACTATGCCTTTCGGACTAACAAACGCGCCCGCGACGTTTCAGAGGCTGATGCAGATAGTATTAAACCGGTCTGTCACCAGATAAATGTATTCTAATTGAAAGATATCATTATTACTGGCAGCTCAATAGAAGACCACCTGTGACATTTAAGGGACGTTTTCGGGCGCCGACCGAACGTAGGGTTACGACTCAACCCCAAGAAATGCGTATTTCTCAAACAGGAGGTGAAACATTTAGGACACGTC